GCCAGATTGTCATAGCAAAGTCGGAATTGACCCTTTTTTTTTTAGAAATAGCCTTTGTGCAGAGCCAGCCTTGTACTCTTCTAGGTTTAAAAAAACTCATCCATAAAATGCGTTGCACAAATTCGAACATCTGGGTTGTGCTGTTCTGTTGTAAGTAAATCTTAAGCAATGATTCCTAATTGCATCTACTTCCGGAAGGCGAAATAAAGTGCTTTTGCTTTCTCACTGAAACACATGCCATTTCCAACAGTAGTCTTAATATGTAAATTGCATGCACATTTGAACGCTTTATAAGTTGCAAAATGAAAATGAAAATCTAGAACACAAATTGATTTGATATGTGTAACATGTTCAAGCAGAAATGGTAGCAAAATTATCATTTAAATGCTATTTGTCCTAAATGCATTTAGACTAACAGTTAGAACACTTATGATTGCATTTTCATAATGACGCCGTGGGATATTTGTAGCAAAATTCTATTTGAAAATGCATTCCGAGCTGACCACGCCCACCCTCCGTCAATCATTGCTTCAAGGCGGGGATTGGTGGAAGCGTGGTACGTCTGGATCGTTTGAAACGTGGCGGCTGGAGATCTGATAAGATCGTTGAATTCACTGCAGATGAAGTGGAGCGTGAACAGACAAATATATGAAGCGTATTCCATGCTAAAATCAAACGTTCGAACGACCAAACGTCTTGAGCTTTGAGCGTCTTACACTGCGGGTGACCCACGTGACGCCAGCGTCTTGAAATGAGATATATCCAGCTGAAAATGTATCATCATTTACTCAGAACATCAGTTTGTTCTATCTCAAACTCATATGACTTCTTTAGAACACAAAGATATTTTCATAGACTGATATGTTTACATCCATAAAATGAAAAGTAAAAGGGTTTCAAAACTTTTAAGATATATATGAGTTTCAGACATAAGGGAATAAATGAGGGAATTATCACTTTTGGGTGAACTATCCATTTAAGCAAGACTGTAACCATGTCTTGAACATTTGGGGGGGATAGGCCTAGGTCAAATTTGATTTTTATTTTGCTTTGATTGGCCATCTCAGAGAGCGCTGGTTATTCACTCCCCCACCTACAATCCCTGCCATTACCCAGGCTCGAAACTCTGACCTTTGGGTTATAAGTCCAACTCTCTAACCATTAGGCCATTAATTTTTTGGCAGGTTAGACTTATCCTCCTCAATGTCTATGGTGGTTACAGTTCTGACTTTAAGAGAAATTTATTGTAATTATGGGTATACTTGCCTGTTTAATTGCCTTAAACAGGCAAATGTTTGAAAACATTGTCTTAAAAAATTGCTCTTTTGAATAAATGTTTTATTAATATTGTGTCAGTGTTTTCAGTTTTTGACTTGAACACTGTTATTGCAGTTTTCAGTTCTAACATATTATTTCTTAGTACCAATTTCCAGTAGCATTTTTTTTTTGTTCAGTCAACTTCAGGTATTTGAGTTCTACAGACAAAAAATGTTGAGTTGGCACAACTTAAAAAGATTTATTATAGAATTGTTGCACATCTCTAAAAAACTAATAATCTTGAGTTAACTCAACTAACAAAGTTTTGTATGACTGACAGCTTCTTTTCAGTCTGTATAACTGCTTTTTTACAAAAGTTGAGTGAACAAGAAAAAGCTAGGGGAAATTAGTACTAAGATTTTTTTTGTTGTGCTGGCTTAAATTTTTTTTACAGTGTGCCCCTCTTTCCTCGTTAGTCTGAGTGTTGTCACCTGTTCCTCCTGTTATCTGCCCCTTTATATTGTGCTCCCTTCCTCTCTTGTGTTGCCAGTTCATTGTTTAAACTTGCATGTTTGCTAGCAGTCCTATTCATCATGTTCCTGAAATCTCCCAGCCAGATTGTTCGCTGTGTTTGTATTAAGTCCAGTCTAGTCTAGACCTGTCCTGTTCTGCCCTGTTCTGAATTGCAGGCTGAGCTATTGGTCATCTCTCCGGGTCTGCCACGCTGCTAGGCCTGTGCAGTGCCTGATACATCCCGAGTGTGGAGTGGTGAGGAGTGTCAGGCCACCACTGCTTACCTCCGGCCTCCTACTTCGCTGCCTCCATTGCTCTCTGGCGGTCTGCCATCCTGGACTGGACTCTGTGGCCAATCACCCAGGCCTGCGTGTCTTCCAAGTCTTTCCCTGCCTAGTGTTTGGACTGTGCTCACCATCTCTCATCTTGTCTGCAAGTCTGTTTCTATAAACCTGTTAACACTCACTCTGCATTTGAGTCCTCCCTTCAGATTCGTGACAGAGTCCTGGCCTTAACCCCATTGAAAGTCTTTGGGATGTGCTGGAGTCGACATTACAGAGTGGTTCAACTCTCCCTATGTCAATACAAGATCTTGGCCAAAAATGTTTGCAACTCTTATTGCGATTACTTAAACAGAACATGTAATGTTTAAAATACATCTGATTAAACTAGTGAATGGATACTGTGAACCCAAACAAATTATGTGGAAACGGTGTCCATAATTCAACTGAGCAAAAATCCATCAACAACAAAAAGTTTTATGGGCGTTTATGAGGTGAAATGTCTCACTGTGGCCATTCCATGCACATTGATGCATGCCTCCACAAATACTCGTGCTTTACACAGAGCAGCAGTCATTTAAAATGTTTAATGACATATTTTAGCTGTGTAATGTCATCAATTTATTGAAACTAGAAATGTAGCCAATGCCATGCAGTGGATTATTACAGATGAAAAGGTTAACCAATTTTAGACTGGGATTGAGGTTTTTGTCATAGCTTTTATCACCGTGGCCGCTGTATTGCACAATGATCCTAACAATAGCAAATACATGACACCTTATTTTTCGTACTTCATATTCATTCAACTTTATTTCCAGACTCATGGTTCATACGATACACACAATCAACTATGATATTCTATACTCTATAAACCATATTAGGAATAAACATCATAGAATGACTGAATTCTAAATTTTGACCCATGACTTGAAAAACACTTTAGGCCTATATTTTATAATAGGCCAAAAAATGCCCCCTAAATGTCAGACTGCTAAAAAAAAAACTATTAGCTATTTAGAGTCAGAAATATATTGGATGAACTTACTTGTTCTAAAAATAAATACATAAATTAATAAATAAAAAAACTTTCAATCGACTTGCTCAATGAATGTTTCAACCAGCTTTGTTGAAGTTACATCCCACTTTTGATTAATATTTAATTTAATCTCGTGTCTCATGTTTATGTAGAGGTGTAAATCAGGGTGGTTGTAGTTATCACAGTAGTGTACTGCCAGACAATAACCGATGATCTATTAGTGTTTATAAAGCAGAGTAAGAGAGAAATTTCAAACGTTTCAAGAACTTATTGCAATGCAAAACTGATTCAAACAACAAACAATCCAACACGCAGAAAGCATGTATGGAGCTTTAATTATGGAGCATCCAAAATGATCAAGGAAAAAAAACACGCTGAAGATTGTACTTACGAAGATCAGTTTCTATTTGCACGAATCTTTCATACTTTATTAAATTAGATTAATATTCCAGAAACTCCTGAATTTCATTTGTAAAATTGTCTGATATTTCCAGTCCATGACGGAAACCTTGGCTTTTCACAAGAAAAGGTGCATGTTTTAAGATAAACGTTTTCTTTCGCAATTCTCAACAACCATTGCTGAGAAGAGAACTGCTTTTCAGAACGTTCCATTGCTCGAAATATCGAAATAGCATCAAAAGTGCATTAGTTATTGCGGAAGACGGAGCAGTTCGCTTCGGGGTGACCCTGGTGATTCCACTGCCTTTTAGCTCCTTCTACTGGCGAGTCACGGTGCTGGACTATTTAGCATTGAAATTACTTTAATATGTGTTGTCTCCTGTCAGTGGGAACTGTCATT